GAGAAAGAGAGAGAGAGAAAGGGACAGGAGAGCACGTGCCAGGCAGGGCTGAGCTATTAGCAGGCCACTTGAGATGGGTTATGTAACAGCGTTGTGGCTGCTGCAGTACCTGCTAGGCCTGTAGTCGCTGTCATAATTTTACACACAAACACCCGCACACTGATTCACATCCACATGCACAACGCGCCAGCAGAACAGACACTCGGTGTAACACGATCCTTCTCTTTTGCTTGGCACCGCATCACTCTGTCCTTTCTAACCAGATGCACTCATTATGAGAGTTATTGTGTGTGTGTGTGTGTGGTGTGTCTGTCGCGCTGGTGTCGTGTGCTGTGCGAGCTGGTTGACGCACGTGTTCTTGCCGTGTTGTCTGGTGTGAGGAGTGTGGTGTGTGTGTGAACGTGTGTGTGTGTTTGAGGTCATCAGGTTTCAGCACTTTTCCAACAAGGAGTAGGGAGGCCCAAGTTTCTATTAGTGCAGTAGCTTCATGTTGTTGCCCCTAAAACTGCAGGAGATTAGAATAAAGTTTGAGCTAGAGGACACTAACCCCCCACCCCCACAGCCCACCTCCCACTTACCTTCAAACACACACACTTATCCCTACCTAAACATCAAGTCAAAGTCTACTTTAAACTGCGGTGTGAGGAGGACAGATGGTGCAGGCTCCTGCAGAGATCAACATCGCAGACATTTCTACTTTCTAATTCAGCTGTTTTTCCATTGCAGCTTTCTATTGTTGCACCTAGACTCTCTCATCCAGAGTAACTTACTGTGTGTGAGCAGGTTATGAGTTGCTATGAGTTGTGACTTCCAAAAAGTTGGCTGACTAACCAGAGACAGGATATTTATGTTGCACTTTATTTCTGCCAGCTGCAATTGTTTAGTCATTATTGTACTGTACATGTTTTTTTGTACTCCATACCATGCAACCATGATTTCAAGTCAATAAAAGTCTGAATCTGAAAAAAAGTGAATCAAAACAGCAAAGACAGAGAGTTAGTAGAAGGGGGCCAAGTTTAAAAAATGCTGGATTTCCCCATAATGAAACCGATAACATCTTTTTATTTCAAACACCACATCCTCACTCTGTCAAACAGGCTTTCTGTTTGGTTGGGGTTTGGGAGTGATTTCCCTTGTTCAGGAACATTGCAAATAGGGGACGCTTTGGTGGAAACCTTCAGTGTGTTGTCTAATAACAGGACAGCTTCTTTAAGTCTAATCATTTTAAAATATGTTTTCTCAATCAGCTTCGTATTATGGGTTGCAAGGTCCTAGATGCACACAAAGTAATCTGCCAGAGTTGGACCAGTTTGTTGTTTCACATGAGACATTTCTCTCTGTTCTCCCTGTGTTCAGTTATAAAAAAGGTACATACTGGAAAGACACATAGCGCAATGCATCAATCAGAATTTTACATTTAAATCAGAATCTGATTACAGATGTGGGGCTGTTTGCGTCTGCTGCCACTGTCAATCAAATCTGATCACACGACACCCACACAGTCTTGATGAAGCTGACTGTTTTCTTAATAGATAATGACTAACTTTAATTGTTTCTTATTTAGACATGAATATTCATTGTTACTGAGAATAAATTAAAGATTTGGGACCAGATTTTTAGGGGCTTTCAAATGATTCCACCATTTTCCAATCATGCAAGAATATACTTGTATATAGTATACATATATGTGCTACATGAAGTAACAAAATGGGAAGAAAGGTGGTTTTAGACCAAGTCTGTTCCTCCTCTGTGTGTGTTTCTGCTCTGCTGCATATTAGAAGGTGTTAATATAAATTCCTGAGTCATCATTACCTCATCACACAGCGATACTTTGGCCTGGCATCACAGAACCGACCTGTTGGAGGACCTGCTGATGCATATTAATTCAAAGTCTGTCACCTGTTTGTTATGCAAATTGTTCATTATAATGCCACCATTCTTATGCCCATCATGGCCAAATGTTAATCACGAAATGTGCCATTGTGCTCTGAGGCTTCATTTGAATCCATTAACCTAACGGGAACACCTTTAGTTGCCCTTACATCCTTCAACTTCTTGTCTCTGTGTCAGTGCAGCAAGTTGGTGCATTGATGATAATAGAGCTGGACTGGGTTTAATTACTATTTAACCACACTGTGTCCCAGCAGGTTAGGAGCTCAGCATAGTGACGACAACCTGAGCAGAGAGACCCATGTCTCTCCAGCAGCAAGGAGGGGAAAGGAATAAATTGGGATGCTTGGCACAGGCCTAGAGGCTCAGTCTCATTTTTTCGATCGCTTGTCTGCTGTAGAGGCTCATGCTTGTCTAGCACACTGTGCAAGTCTGCAAAGTGAGGAAGGCTGCACAACTTTAAGACTCCAACACTGAGACATCTGTATGCTGATTGGTACGGCTCGCCAGCAAAATATGAATTAGGCAGTGAAATGCGTGTGTTTGTTTGTCCATATGTTCCTGGAATAATAAATTAAATATCTGAGGCCTGGATGTGTTTATGTACTTATGTGCCCTCTTAAAACAGTGCAATGCAGTTTTATATTCCTAAAAGATTACATTGTTGTATATCTTGTAAACACAAAATAAAATTGCCTCACTGTAACTTAAGCTTTTGATAACAGAGCAGCTTGTGTGATGCAGCATTTAAGGAGCAAAAAAGTGCATTACAAAGGTATTGTGTGTGTGTGTGTGT